ACTTAGTTTTTTTTTTTTCAGTGGCCCTAATCCTATTCCGTATAGTTCAATATTTGAAGTTTAAATCAAGTTTTTCACAGTACCAACCGCCAGGTGTCACTGTTCTTCCACTTCTCTCAGCATAAACAAACCTGGTGGACGGAAAAAAAAGAAAGGAGAGTGAAGGAGTTTGCGTGCGTGATTTGTTTTCGTGCATACGCTGAGTCGCGACACTTTTTTCATACTAACCTTATAAGAAAACCCTCCTACATGAACAGTTTTACCCATTTTAAACCTCTCCCCTCTGCTGGAATGCAACTGTAAATGTCATGATGTATGATCCACGCAGGTAGCGGAGAGCAGCGCTTGTTGGGTCAGCAGGGTGTCGACAGGTAAGCGCAGGAAACGGGGCTGCGCCTTTGGTTGGAGGTCCGTCTTCAGCCGCTTTTCTTCTAGTTTTCACCCGGTTCTACTGCCCTCTCCATCGGCCTGAAGTCTGGTGTTTACCGCGGCAGGAGAAATCATGACGGAGGAGAAAAACATTTCCAACGAACTGTTCGGTAAGCAGGACTTTCTGAGAAAATCTAATGACTTTTACGCATCAGTTTATTGGAGAGAAAGTTAGTGTTAGTTTGCCAAGGCTAGAAATCCAGTTTGGGAAATTTAGGGAAAGGAAAAAATGCAGTTTTAAAAGTTTAACTTTTTCATATGTTGTATATTTACGCTCCACTGAAACTCAAATCACTTAATTTAGCTGAAATATATTTTAAAAGTCAATACTTTAAACTTAAGTTATCAATAACGCATATTAAGAGCAGCTTAAGAGAGTATACTGTTTATTTAGAATATAAAAACATACGTGCATTGATTTTGCTTGTGTTAATTTTTGCATATCAGGGGTGAAAATATTTATGTTTATTTTATTTTTCTAACTTTTCCTGCCTTTCAGTGAAAAGTTTGTTTTCATGCCCTCAGGGTTTGGCTGACTACCTAAAAGTTCCTCCTCTCTTACTTCCTTATCTGAAGGAGGGAGTGAGGGCTTTGGGAGAGGGGTGTGTCCTGTGAAATTCCTTTGGATTGTGAGATATGATCAACACAGACTGCCTGGATGACTGGCTCTCAAAAAGAACAGTAAATCACTGCAATTTTGCAGTAAAAAGTAGCCAAAGCATTCTGCTCTCCTGACAGTAGTTCAACTTAAGTTTGGCTTACGCTGACCTTTGGATACTGTGAGCTAAAGCTGTTTGGATCTGCTGTTTTCACCCAGTTTTGTTTAATAGGTTTTCCGGTATGATGCTCCTGATAAAACTACCCTTTTAAACAGATAAAAACAAATGCTTTAAAAAAAAAAGCAACATTTTACAAGTAAATATTGTTGCAAAATTGGAAGCTTGTGTCCAGATTGTTCTAGGACCCAATATGGGCTTGTGTTTCATCCATAGGGTTTGTGTTATGAAATTAAATCTGGTGCTGCGTGGTGAAGCTGACTCATGACCCCGTGCTGTCTGTTACGATGTCTCCAGCTCAATCTCAAACTGTATGGAGTGATGAATGGGGCTTTTTGTTCCCAGTGTCGCTTTTGGTTGGAATAGGTCAGAACGACCTGATGCTGCTCATTATCAGTAATTAAAACCTGCCATCAGCACTCCATCACATATGCAAGCTTTGTTCTCAGATGTTAATATAATAAAACTTTTAAATGTTTAGGGGATTTGCTTCTTGTCCCTTGAAACTCCCCTTTCTTGCTGGGGATTTGACAGAAAACTGCAGGAACTTTGCACATTTGTTCTGTTAAAGATAGGCTCTGTGAATGCACCCGGATGCTCTATCTTTCCGGGTCTTTTTCCTGAAAAGAGATCACTGGGGACAAACTATTTAAATCACATTTCATAACTTATTTCTATAAATAACCAGGAGACATGACAACAGATTTTGATAGAAATTATAACCTTACTCAGATCAGAGAAATTGCTTAGGGTTAAAGTCTGCAGTCTGCCACATCATCATATTTTACATTATACACATTAGCAGATAATTAGACATCCATGGTTCCAGCCATATCAAAATAGGACACCGCTCCCTTTCCATTTCCAAATTTGTGCTACGTAAAAAATGAAGATTATAACTGTATATCCAGACAGAGGAATTGTCCTAATTAGATTAAAACATCAGTTTTGACGCGCAATACCAGGATGTTATAAACTCACATCTTCAATGATAATTATCCTAACAGTTACATGTGATGCCATGCAGACACACATTTAAATTTCTTTTAAAATCTTTCAACTTAAAAATGGTGCAACTAAGTTTGGTGATTTTCCATGCATTTTAATAGGACTTGTTTGTAATACATTTAATTGATCACCCCAAATTAGTTTATAATTTAATTGGAGGGAAAGTGAAGAAGATAAAGTGTTGCTTGTGTTTTCTTTTGCCCTTTGAGTGAGTACTTTGTAAAACACATTTTCAATGCAGTTACAGCTGCAAATCTTGAACTGTATGTTTCCTCCATCTTTCCTCAGGAGACAAAATTCTTTCTCTGAAATGGCCTAAGCACTGTCAGTTAAAGGTCAGATCTTGACTGGGCCTTTTTTAACAAATAAATATGCCCTGATCTGAAATAGAGCTGTACAGTTTTAGTTTATTTTTTTCAGTTTCAGCCGATTCGTGCATGTGTTCGCTGATTCATCAGTGCATTCACCAGGCGTGCCTTGAGATCATGTAAAACGCATGCATTGTCGGTCCCTCTGCCATTATCATGTCAATGGAGGAGGAAAAATCAATATTAGCTTCAATACTGGGTCCAAAACAATCAGCAGCACATATAGGGTATCAGTTATAATAATTTCAAAATGAATGATATCAGCTCTACTTTTACCAATTTAGCAGAGGATCTAATTTGAAAAGATAGTTTAAATGTAATGAAAATACATTCAGTTTGCCAATAAAATATTTAGCCTACTGAATCTACTTCTACCTCACAATTCTGCATCACTTGTTTATCGATCTGGTAAAATTCCTGTAAGTTAGAAGACAGCTGGTGCTCGTAAAGTGAAAAAATAGGAATAAAAGCGTTTATGATTTTAAAGCATTGTATAGAATCAGGGCCTATAGGGTAGAAAGGAAATTGTATGAAGCTGCATCTTGATCTCAACACTGATTACTTTGCTTTGAGTCCACAACACTGACAAACAATGCACAGTAATGCACAAACTAATTAATGTTTAGTTATAAAAAATATTGAAAATAAATGCCTTGGCTGGGATGCTTATTCATATCCTGATTTATTCATTTTTTTCTTAAGTCGGAGGTCTTCAACCGGGGGTACTGAAAGGGGGTTGCGAAAGTTTTGGTTGATATTTTGGTTTTTATTTTATATATATTCCCCCCGCAATTTTTTCCACTAATTGAAATTTCTTTGAATACACACTAACATGAAATCAACACATTGTAGTAAACAGATAAATGGTGGCCGAAGATGTATTTAAGTCATCAATGCACACATTTAGTGACACACAGGAGCTCTTTCAAGCTGGGCACCGTTTCATTCACAATACCTGTCCCATCAATGAGGAATCAGAGTCAGAGATATTTTAATAATCCCAGGGAGAAATTACTCTCGTTACATGACTCCATATGTTTTAGAGTGACTATAGGAACAATTTGATATAACACAATTTATACAATATATACAATTAGGGGGTTTCCACTCCATCTCGCCAGCAAAAAGTTGAAGACCCCTGTTTTAATTCTTATTTTGGGTGTAGTAGAGTTTTAAAATTCCCAGGCTTTAAAGAAAATGTAACATTTGTTTATATTAATTCACTTTTTGAATAAGTAGCTTGTTAAATCAGAGAGCAGACATTTTATCTCTTTTTTCCACTTTGTCTCGGCTCATCGTAAACTATTCATGGCTCTCATAATAGTGAGCTGGATCCAAATAGAAGTCCATGTGTTTCTAATCAGCCTCTACGCTCCTTCATGCAGTAATGTTTTCATCCTCTTCATGACCTCATCATGTGTCTGACTTAAGATGGGAGGGCTTCGGCATGATGTCATAAAGGCAGTCCTCCTGCCTCATTATTCTCACAACACACACATCCACTTGAACTTCTCCACATTTTGTCTGGTCTTCAGCTTTACTGTCTGTCAATGTTCCCTTTTCTCTCTTGCTTAAATCTCAGTCCTCTTCTCCTGTGACTGTTCAATGCCTCCTATGGTTGTACCC